TGGTCTTCGGTCCATTCAGAGCTTTTTGGGATTCGCCAACTATTATCGGAAGTTTATCAGGAACTTCTCCACGCTGGCCAAGCCTCTCTCAGATCTGACCAAGAAGGGCAGTAATCCCCACGAGTGGTCATCCGAGGCCATCTTAGCTTTCGAAGCTCTGAAATCCGCCTTCGTTTCGGCTCCGATACTGTCTCATCCCAATCCTGGGTTGCCCTTTGTCCTCGAGGTTGATGCATCTGAAACGGGAGTAGGCGCCCTCCAGTCTCAGCGTCGGTCGCCCGCTGGACCCCTACTTCCCTGTGGGTTCTACCCCAGGAAGCTTTCCTCTACAGAATGCAACTACCAGATTGGAGACAGGGAGTTGTTGGCCATTATTCAGGCTCTCAAGGAATGGAGGCACTGCTCGAGGGTTCTGCGGTTCCGGTTCTCATTCTCACAGACCACAAGAACCTGACGTTTCTCTCAGAGGCTAAGAGGTTGACACCCCGTCAGGCCAGATGGGCTCTGTTCTTGTCGCATTTTAACTATGTGGGATCCAAGAATGTCAGGGCTGATGCCTTGTCGCGGCAATACTCTGAGCTGTCCAGGGAGGACTCTGAGCCGACCTCGGTCATACCTCCGGATTAGATCCTGGCTGCCATTCGTACCAGCCTGACTTCTCCCCTTGGGGAGCAGATTTTGGCGGCTCAAACTGATGCTCCCTCTGAGAGACCGGCTGGTAGATGTTTCGTACCTGAGAGATTCCACACGCGCCTGCTGTGTACCTACCATAATTCCAAGACTGCCGGTCATCCGGGGAGGAACCAGTTGTCCTGGGTCGTTTCTCGTCTATTCTGGTGGCCATCTCTCTGTTCCGACATCGCCTCATATGTAGTGGCATGTTCTGTCTGTGCCCAGAATAAATCTCCTCGGCATCTTCCATTTGGCCTTCTGCAACCCATTCCCAATGGGGAGCATCCCTGGTCACAGCTGGGCATGGATTTCATTGTGGACCTCCCTGCGTCTCAAGGCCATACGGTCATTCTTATGGTCATTGATCGTTTCTCCAAGATGTGCCATTGTGTTCCGTTTAAGAAATTGCCAACTGCGCAAGAACTGGCTACGGTTTTCGCCAGGGAGATCTTTCGCTTGCATGGGTTGCCTAAGGTGATTGTCTCGGACTGTGGGAGCTAGTTTGTGTCCAGGTTCTGGCGCGCCTTCTGCTCCCAGTTGGGTATCAAGCTCTCCTTCTCTTTGGCCTACCATCCGCAGTCCAATGGGGCTGTGGAGCGTTCCAACCGGGCCCTGGAACAATTCCTTCGCTGCTCTATCTCAGACCATCATGACAATTGGGTCGATCTCCTGCCATGGGCAGAGTTTGCGAGGAACTCGGCTGTCAACTCCTCCTCCGGGATGTCTCCCTTCATGGCCAACTATGGGTTCCAACCCGCTGTATTGCCTGAGTTGTTCTCGCCACAGGACATTCTGGCTGTGGAGAACCATCTTGCTGCCCTGCGTTCTTCATGGGGGCAGATCCAGAGGTCCTTGAAGGACTCAGCACAGCGCCAGAATCTCCAGGCTGATCGTAGACAGTTGCCCGCTCCTTCATACCAGGTCGGAGATCGGGTGTGGTTGTCCACTTGTAACCTCAATCTTCGGGTGCCCGCACCGAAACTGGCTCCCCGTTTTGTTGGTCCTTTCCGCATCCTCCGCAGGGTGAACTTGGTTGCCTATGCCCTTGCTCTTCCTCCTGGGATGCGTATCTCCAATGTCTTCCATGTATCCCTGTTGAAGCCTCTGGTCTGCAATCGCTTTACTGCCTCACTGCCTTGGCCTCATCCCATCCGGGTTGACAGTCATGAGGAGTATGAGGTGAGCCGCATCCTGGACTCTCGGTTGGTCCGCGGTCGGGTGCAGTTCCTGGTCCATTGGCGTGGTTATGGTCCCGAGGAACGTTCCTGGGTTCCTTCCGCGGATGTTCATGCTCCTGCCCTCCTCCGTGCTTTTCACGGTCGCTTTCCCCATGAGCCTTATGTTGAGCCGCGGAGGGGCCCTTGAGGAGGAGGTACTATCAAGGTCCTACCTTTCCTCAGGGCTTGTGCTGCTCCATGTGCTGGCATCCATCTTGGGTCTGCAAAGCATTGTGGGATCCTTTATGCTTTCAGCCCTCTGCTGCTCCTCCCAGGAGGTGGCGGCTTATCACATTTAAGTCTGCTGTTTGCAGCTGTCCATTGCAGTCGTGTTCTGTCTGTTGCACAGCAGCAAGCTCCTGTTTAGTTAACTCTTTGCTCTCCTGGATACCGACTCGGCTTTGACTAAGACTCCTCCTGGCTTCTGACCACAGCTCTGGCGACCATTCTTCCTGGCTTCTGACCCCGGCTCTGGCGACCATTCTTCCTGGCTTCTGACCCCGGCTTTAGCTGCGATTCCCGCTGGTTCTCGACTTGATTATCCTGGAAGGCGACCTCGGCAGAAGAACTTCGGTCCTACCAAGTCATCCGCTGTTGCTGCCGGACTTGCATAGGCTCTTGCCTTGTTTCTGTGTAAATAAACCTACCTTTAATTGCACCTCCTTGTGTGTCTGGCTCCTCGCTCCCTGACACAAACCTTTCTTGTAAATATTGAGTATGGCAACACCCCCAATAAATCCTGTGCCCCGCTATTGGTGATTTAACCTAATTCATGTGGTCATTGATCAGCAGGAAGAAATTGGTGGGTCTTACATGAATAGTTGAGATTTGTATATGAATTTCATCTGTCCGTATCTGTGGATCTGCTGATCATTTCGACATAAGGTTTTTTTACTGAAGGTAATCTCTATTTATGTATGTTTTTGTCCTATGCTCAGTTTGACATGCCAAGGTTTGTGATATGCTTATTTAAATCCCAAGGTAAAGCATTTTTTTTATTTTAGATGGCACAGAGAAGATTTAGGAATTCTGCCTGATTTTATTCTTTTCTGTGACCCCACTAGAGGGATTTCTCTTCTTATTTCTTACACCATAATAAGAAATTAGGATAATCGGCAAGCTGTGTTTGGAAGATTCACACATCAACAAAATGTTTGTTCTACAATCTGCGTAAATGTCAAAATTTAGTGCACCACTAATAAAAATATCACCAAGACATGCAAGCAACTTCCCATGTGCTCCTCACAGTGGAACTCCCACTATATTTTGGACATTTTATGTTATTGGAGGACATTGTCAATTTTTGTTTCCTTTTGGTGGGGGGCATAGTATATTATTTAGATGTCAGGGATATTTTTATTAGCGCACAATATTTACACCTGTATCATTTGTTAGAGGTGTGAATCATTTATCAATGCTAATTTTCTGTTTTTGGGTATAGGCATAATTGTGCATGTAGTAATTTTGGTAAATCTGCCATCTGTGTACAAAGCAGTTTTTGTCACCATGTCACAGGAACAGGAAATTAATTGAACCCTTCAAAACGAGAACGCAAACACCAAAACAAACCTTACAAAGGTTCCAGCCCTTTACCATTCTGTCCCTAGCTAAAAAAATCATTTGGCTGGATTTGAAGTGAATATGTGCTTACTTATGCAGCCTATACTATCATTTCCTTTACTCACCCACTAGTCTATTGTTGGAAGCAAGGAGAAAAAGCCCTGTTTAAGCTCTGTGTACAAGGGTCAAATGCACCCTTGTAACATGGCAATAATTGGAACTACTGAAGAAAAACCAAAAGGTGCGTCTAAATCACTGCAGAGGCTAGGACTGTATTAGGTTCAAAACGCAGGCTCACTTTGAGCTGACCTTTTAATATGAGTTGTTAAATAAAATTCAAGGCTAAACCTAATTAGTCTTAAAAATACTGCCCCCCAACACTTATGCTGACTAATCTGTGTAAGAAAGAGGTATATATTTTTACCTATTTTTAGCCTGCTCCGGTCCAGTCACTTGATTCCCTATGTCACCCATCGGCGGCTGCAGAGGAGAGGTAGTGCGCTCCACTATGGCTAGGAATGCCTGGGAGTGGTGACATCACCCATAGACTCCAATGGTCCATCTGTCATTTCTCCTCTCCTCTGACAGTCCGGGTTCCCTGATGAAGTCATGTGATTAATGATGATACACATAGGGTGGAGCCGAGTGAAGTCAAATCCAGGAAGTAACTTTGACAATGCTGGATTGGTGTCCCACAATAAAGTAAATGCTGTTAGTTCCCTGTAATGCACCGGCAATATACACCAACAATGTGAGTGTATTTTGGTTGTTTTTAATTAATATTTTATTTAAGAGGATAACTCTACAATGGGAGCTGTTTTATTCTTTTGAGTACCTCGCCACCAGTTCCATTGAAGAAGGAAGCCCTGCCCCCTTTAATGGGGTATACACCTTGGTATCTGCATTAAAGATGCCATGTTGGAAAGGGAGAAAGCACATACCTATATCTCTCATAGCGCTCATAGGTCCATAACAGAAGTTGAAAGGCTGGATACACTGAGCTGGAGCACGTCAATTTATTATTTTCGGTGGAGCACTGGAGCAGTGTTGGGATACTTCATTGTAAAGCACAATAATTAGAGACTTTTATGCACATATACTGTATGTACATATTGTGGTATATTAGATGTTGTGATGTATAGTCATTAACTCACATATGGAGTTTTAATTTTGCGTTATATATGTAACTTAATTTGGGATTTGAGAGCAGTGCGGTACTATTTTATATTCATATGTCTTGAATGTGGGAACACATTAAGTGATCGCATGCAGCTCATAAGCAATATAAGCAATTTCAACACAGTAGGGCCGTGGGTAGGGGAATTTTTTTTCTATTCTTCACATATTAGTCAGTATAGGTGTTAGGAGGGGGGAGGGAGCATTTTTAAGACTAGTTAGGTTTAGCCTGGAATTCTACTTTAATGAATAATACTTTTTTATTATATACAGCATCTATACTCTTTCAAATGTGAAACAAATTCCGTTTTAACATTTTTGTGATCTGTTCAGTGTATATTACTGGTTTGCTCCAGAAACATACTTTGTACTTACAGCCAGTTTAGCTTAGGCATATATTGACAAAGCGGTTTGTCAGGCAGTCGGCCCAGGAAATTGTTCAACATTACTCTGTAAGAACAATAACACAATACATAAAGTGATTTAGGACTTTAGTACTATCACAGTATATGTTTGCTTTAACATATGTAGCCACACAAAAGAGAATTAAGAAAGTCCCTCAAAAATGCATTCAGAAAAAAACAACATGAAAAAGCACTAAAAATCAACAAAATGTACAAAGTAAAGTACAAACAGCAAAATAAATATTAAAAACAAATGGGTTTGATCTCTTCTTGAAAAACTATTTCTAGTCCCTTATTCCTCTATACAATAGTAAAAAAAAAGTTTTAGGCTATGCTCTACTTAGCAAATATTTATATAACTATGCTGTGGTACAGTTTTTGTTCCTATTCACCTTTATAACTGTAATATATGAGATGGTATGGCCTTTTTTTTTTAATCAAAGGCAGCTTCAAACCTATCCAAATAGAAAAGAAAATAAGCTTCCTAGATCAGAGTACTTATGTGTAGATTCTAAATTCACAAAGGACACAGATGCATAAAAGAGTCATTGTGATTGTAGCTTCCTCTGTGATGTAGATTAAAGTAGGAGCGCTATTGGATCATTGCATAAAACTTCAAAGTATAAAAATTGGGTGCTTTTCTGTTCTTAATGAAGAACTTTGCTTTAATTAAAAAAAACTGTATATTGTTTTAAAAAGAGGAGCTGTTGACATGACTGAAAACAACTCATTAATAGTGGAGGGTGAATTTACCCAGGTTAGTTTCATGGAAGTTTCGGCAAATACTGTTTGAAGTTCAACGTACCTAAACTTAGCAGCAAATCCTATTGAAGTCTGAGGGGTGAATCATGTTATGAAATCTATCTAAACCCTAAAACAAAATTTTAATATATTGCAACTTATCAATCCATAGATGCTTTGGCTGCTTTGGTTTTCTGTTTTTAGGCCCCCCCCCCTTTATTTACTGCCTTAGGGTGTCTCCATTCTGGTTGGAGGACCAACTGAGACACCCTTAGACACCTCCACTCTCAGCTCACAACACTGGAAAAAAAGCCCTCACTTCCTTCTTCTAATATATGAAGAGCAACAAATATACTGTATACAGTCTATGACAGTTGCCCCGGTACCCAAGACTAAGACGCCAGAGTGTGAAATCCTTCACCACCCTTCCCTCCCAATGCTTTGATGAATAAAGTTTGCACATCTGCATATACTTTTTCCAGGTTAGTACAAGATGCACAAATAACAGCCACTGTCCACTGGCACTAGGGTTCCCATTATTTGGTCTGTGAAACACTGCAAGGAAAGGGTGATGTTGTGAGGTGGTTAAACCACTGTGATTTAGTCATAATGAGCATGGTAAAGTAGACCATGTTTACCTTAACATTATTGTTACTTTTTTTTTGTTTTTATATACAGAAACATAAGTAGTTTACAACATCAAATGTGCAGATTTTGTATTCTAAAATTTTTCTGTTTGCTTGTTTCTGGTACAAAGTATTTTAGTGCAGGGCAAATAAAGCAAACACATTGAAAAATTGGAAAATGTTGCGTACTAATGAAAACAATTATCAAATTAGTTGAGGGAAGAAGAGGATGATTATTATTTATTATTATTTGAGAAAAGAAAAAATAACATTGCATTGATGAAGAGTGAATTAATATAAAAAACTGCAAACCCAAACTGCAAAAAACAAACCTTACAGAGATTGTTTTAATTAATTTGTGAGCAGGGCAGAAATACTGCCTGTATAGACCATAAAGTATATCTAAAGTGGTTTGGCCCACTATAGATCAGCAGTGTTAAAGTTTTAAATTAAAAAAAAATCCTTTTCCATTATATATATATATATATATATACACACACACAAACATTTTGCCTTGAATCTCTATTTTACCCTAGGCTACGGGATTGTGTGTTTTTACTGATGAAAATATTGTACTGAATCACAAGTCTAGTCCCTGCATGCAAAGATGACTTCATAGAGCACTGTAAGAGAACGGAGCCACCATGAAACAGGAATTGTAGGGCAGGGGCAGTGGTCATGCTACTAGCTTAAACAGGAGCATAGGCAAGGATTAAAAAATAAATATGCTGCATACTCAGCAAGTGATTACATCGACTGCTGAAAGTGCTTAAAAAACTAAGGGTTCAATATCACTTGAACTCCAGAATTTTAGTATTTCAGAGCTAAGTAGTTCTTCACAGCCACCAGTATGACTCAAACTGTTTTTGGCAGTTTAATCCTGGCTCAAGTGAACCTTCAGCTTCACTAAACACTCACACCTTATCCCAACCATTTAGCCATCCACAGAGTGCTTCATTATGAGTCCTATTGTCTTTTCCACATCCTGTCCAGCAGCATAGGCTAAGCATGCAGGCTTTATTTCCACCATATATTTAGTTGTTTAAATTGTATATTGAGATGTGTTTTACTTTGATAAAACTTACAGAAGTATAAGTGAATTCAGGCCTTGAAACACTTGAGGGGAGATCCGGTTTATTTTGTTGTTCTCAATGACTCTGTTGAAAAGGAGATAAATATTTATTAGAGGCAAATTTGTAAAATAAATTTAGCAACACCAAGTATATTTATTATTAAAGTCACCCATGTGTTCTTTTGTGCATTTGTGCAAGTTACATCTCAGAACAAGCACAAATCTTATCCAGAAACATATTAGGTTTGTAACAGGAGATGTGTGTTGTGAAGGATGTTTACTTTGCATTACATAGCATTGTGTAAAATGTTGGATAGTTTTATCATGTACAGTATAGGAAGTCAAATTTAATCCAAAGATTTGGGTGTACAGCTAAGTCTTCACAACACTGATAGATTTAGGTGAATGATTAAAATGTAGTTCAGTTGGCTTGTTTGGAATCTTTTTAGTGGGTTAAAATCCACAACTGAAATTAATTAATTCACTAATCCATTTTTAAAACTTCCATTTATTAATAAAACAGAACCCACCCAACCTCCAGGATACCATGCTGGCCCACCAGGCATACCAGCAGCTGGTCACTTGATGATGACTGGATAAGCCTTGAGAGCTTTTTTTTTTTACTATGCTGATACTAGCCTGCATGCCCATCAACGCTGGGCTGATAAGATGGAGCCTCAAAACTATATGGTTCCACCACCCTCAAAATCCCATACAGATAAGATTTACAAGTAATCCAGCCAACCTACTGCCACTGAATTGTCATTTTCAAATTAACTTAGCTTTTATAAAGATCTATTAAATATCTCAAGTCTATACAGGTACTGTGGCCTTAGAAAATGTGTTGCTTTCTCTGCTTATTAAATGTCATACTTGTGCCTTGGATTGAAAATAACTAAATCAGGCCAATAACTAGAGAAAGTCTGCCAATTTTGCATTATCATTTCTATCTGGGTTTTAATTTTAAATATGATAAATAAGCAAAACAAATAAAAAGTCATCTGGAAAGAAGATTCCAATTTCACCAAGCAAATGTAAATGCTCAATCAATTCAGAAGTTTAAGTTTATTTGCATGCATACTGGGAATACAAGACTCGTTTTTCAATGCAAAGTAATCTCTCCAAAACAAATAAAGCCTGAGAGAATGAATTGACATTATTAAGTTTCTAAAACATTTTGTATGCCATGTTATCTCAAGGGGAACTTAGTTACAATTTGAGTTTTAACCTGACTTACTGCTGAGAAACTATAATACACTACTGAGCGGCACTACAATCATACAACAATATGGATAAAACAGATGGTAATGAGCCTGAAAACATTGACCCTCCATTTCATCTCAATGGCTGGACTTTAATGGTAATAATATTAATGGAGTAAGTAGATTAGCTAGGAGCAATGGTGGCAGTCATATCAGTCTACTATAAAAGCAGCATTTCTGAATGATCGTGATAAGTACTATCATATTGATCTGATATATATATATATTACAGGATATGTTTATTTTCTATTTCTATTTTGAAATTTCTTATATTCAAAAATAGGTTAGAGTTTATGTACAGTATGTTCAGTAGAAAATATTTTTTATTAGATGGAGTGGAAAAGCGGTTGAAACTCCTGTAAGGTTTTTAACTACTATCTGGAGCTCAGGAAGTAGTCCCAAAAAATGGAAGTGAAAAAAAACCTCTAACAGCAGCACAGACAGCATAACAAAAATTGTGGCTGGATATCCTTTTAACCTCTAAAATTATAACTAAAGGCAAAACTTTTTTTTTACATTTTGGATAGAGTAGAGATGGATTAGAATACTTGTCAGTGTCCCCGTTAGGGAGATTCCACCTCTCTATTTGTCCTGTTTACCAGTATCATTGAAAGTGAAAGTAAAAGAAAATTGTGGGATGTCCCCATAAAAGTAATAGAGGGGAAATCTTCCAACGGGGACACTTGTTCTGGTGACCTGAGAGTCCCCAAGTAATTCCCTTAATTTGCAGGGATTTTCTCTCACTTCCTGTTTGGCTATAGGACAGGAAGTGAAGGTAAATCTTCACAATGGGACAGAGATGGCGATAAAAAATCTGACAGCGGTTATAACCCTCCATTACTCTATCCAAAATGGGAAAAAAAAGTTTTGCCTACAGTTCTACTTTAACGTTGGCACCTCACAGCCTTTTAAAGGGTTTCAGATGCCGGGAGGTAGGTAGGGTTTTATGATCATGTGACCACTGTGAGTGGCTGTCACAGTGGTCACATGATCGGAAAGCTTTCCATTAGGCACCAGTAACTATTTCAGGAGTGCACAGGGTGCTTGCTCTCGGCATAGGTTTGTTTACATTTTGGTACGCATATATGCGGCCTCTCGCACCGCGAGGACGCATATATGCATACTTTTGCCGCAAGAAGTTAAGCTACTGATAGTATTTAATGATTGTCTCTCCTGAACCTGATGATTAAAGGATGAGATGACGATCCTGATGTCTATGTGTGATAACCTGAAGGATGAAAATCCTGACATTCTTTATGCTTGATGTGACAGGCTAAGCACACAACTGATTATATTCAATCATAACGCCTTACTTAAATACTGTTGTACTGTTACATGCAAAGTGCTTTAATAAAAAAATCATGGCCAGTTTCTGAGCATTGATTGATTTATGCATAATTCACTAAAATCATTGGAGCTCCTTATTAAGACACATAAAAACCGGCTCAAAATCTATGTTTATAATACTGGTTTGTTAAATACAAACACGAAAGTACTGAATAGGCAATCCACAGTATAGGTGTCCTGTGATTTGCTATTTAAATATTTAACTTTAAATATTTTAATGAAAGTCTGAATTTTCTAGATACACCGGCTATAAAGTTGTATCTTTATTAAATCCAAAATTTTTTGGCTTAGCACAAAAGGATCTGCTTTGTAAATAGTCGTTCACAGAAGTACTTCTAATGGCTTGTAAAAACGATGTTTCTGGACTTTATTCATTACTTATTGTATAATATCAACAAAATAATTTGTGCTTCTAAGTGTTGCCTTGACTTTATTGCCTATATTCATCACACAACGCCTAAAACCAAACTCCAGGATGGAAAAAAACATTGCAATGGGGCACTCAAGGGGCTTACAATCTAAAGTTCTTATCTCACATGTATACATAAATACACTAAGGGCCAATTAACCCATAAGCATGTCTTTTAGAGTATGGGAAGAATCTGGAGGAAACCCACACTAGCACAGGGATATTAAGGAAATTACATGCAGGTAATGTCCTGACCAATATTCAGACTGAGGACCCCAGTGCTGCAAGGTAACTGTTGAGTTTATTAGCCATATAATGGCTAACTGGTACGTCTCTGTTGAGTTTATTAGCCATACAATGGCAGTGGCTGTAACCTCAACATGAAATTCTAAAAGACATACAGTATATGATTGTTAAATCCTCTTTTTTATACTTGAATAATCATAATATAAAATGCAACTGAACATTTTGGTCTTTCATGTATACAGGCAAGTCTCATTCTTTCAAACTTTTAAGAAGAAAAAGATCTTTTAGTTCACCTAGGCCTAATAAACAGAGAACAATCAAAAGCATCTTTACAGAGAGCTGGAAATTAGTCCCTTTCTTCTATTTTTTTCCAGACCTGATGGAACTTAGACATTTCTTTATGACTTTGGTATTCCAGTAATTACTAATTTCAAGATATAAACCTTACCAATCACATATTTTAATTGCCTTGTCTTCTTGTTTCTAAAATTGCAATTCTCATTTATCCAGATGCATTTGTTCAACCTCATTCATCTTCTAGAACTCTGCTTGGACCTTTCAACTAGGAATTCTGACCAATGATAATTCCTATTTCCAATATTCTTGTATGACAGGATTATCACCCTCCTCTCCCAATGGTAATCTCCATATAAAATATTTATCTTCTCATACATGGTGTAACTCTTTCGTTGGCTTAATAATATTATACCTTGATGGTACCCATTTACCAAAAATTAATTGAACTAAAATCACTACTTAACAATCACAAAAAAACATGCAAAACACCTTAGACCTACAATAATAGAGATTACAGTGTATCTGAACCTTTGATTGACAACTATTGCAATAAATCTTTGTGATGGAACAGACATATGATTTATAACCAGGGAGATAGGTTGGGTAAACTTTTGGCTCAGAACTAGGCCTAATATTGCAGAAGTTACTAAATTAAAGCATAGTAAACCCAAAACAAGGAAATGAAAATGTAATATATTATTGCTTACCCATCATTAGATGTGGTGCCTGCCTTAGGTTTCTTTTTTTTAGCTTATTTCTCTCTGTTTTCACCTGGTGATCTGGCCAGTAACACACCTACTGTATTAGAGTGCACCCACTCTGGGTGAAGGAGCACAGGGGAAAATTTGGACAGCAGCTTTGTCAGTCTGGGGGGAGGGGAGTTTTAAATGTACTAGCAAATTGAAATACACTAACAAATTGAAGCCAAACTTCAGCTCACAATTTATAATCAGTTACAGCAAACTGTTTTTTTTTTCCTTTAGGATAAAGGTTTTACATGAATAAATAAAAGTTCTGGCAAGTGGTTAATGGTTTGTCTCAGTCCCTATATACTGATACATCTGGAAGAGAGCTTGTTCTTTTGAAACACAACAGACTTACTGGTCACCACATGAAAATAAAACAAAGAAAGCAAAAAAAAAAAAAAGAAAACTAACACAGCCATCACATCTAAGACTTGGTGAGCTGCAATATAATACAGTATATGTTTGATTTTGGGTTTCAACAATACTTTAAGTCTTTTCAGAACTTTAACATAAAATCCACCAACTATTACTGGAGAATTACAGACATTTTACTCATCAGCTCAAAACTAGACAATTTTTCACTAAATTATCAAAATGTTATCTTAATCTTATCTCATGAATCCATGGTTGATAGTCCATTTATGGTTGAAGAAATCAAATGAGCTATTAAACAGTTAAAACTTTCCAACCCCCCCCCCCCCCCCCCCCCCCCCCCCCTCCCAACCCCCCCACCCCACCCCCCCCCCCAAACCCCCCCCCCCCCAGACCCAATGAATTC